GCAGCAGCAGCAGCAGCAGCAGCACGGCACTTGGTCCGTGTCTCATGGCGAGTCGAATCCGCTCGCTTCAGCCGGCCTCGCACCTTCGCCCGCTCCGACATATAAGGCTGTCATCACTCGCACCTACCTTCCGACATCCACATCGCAACCTCTCTTCTCACCGCAACACTCGCAACACACAACACACAACATGTCCTGGCAGCAAAATCCATACCCGCCCCCTCAGGGCTACAGCGCTCCTCCCCCCATGCCCCAGGGTGGCGGATACGGCGCTTACCCTCCTCCGGGTGGACCCCCTCCTCCCCACGCTGGTGGCTACGGCGCTCCTCCTGCTCCCTACGCAGGTGGCTACGGCGCTCCTCCTGGTCCACCTCCTCCTCAGCATGGCTATCCGCAGCAGCACCACGGGCAGCACGGGCACCATGGCCATCACGCGCATCCGCCTCCTCCCCAGCCTGGTTACGGCTATGGCGCTCCTGCCCACGCTCCTCCTCCGGCTGCTGCCGCCGCCGGTGCCTTCTACCTAGGCGTCCCCGTCCCGCCGCCGCCTCCCCACCAGCCTGCACCACCCCCGCCCGGCTACAACGCCGCGCAAGACGTAGAGAGGATCCGCAAGGCTACCAAGGGCTTCGGCACTGACGAGGGCAGCCTCATCGCCACCCTCGCTCCACTAGACGCCTTCCAGATCGACGCGCTTCGTCACACCTTCAAGGCGACCGTCGGCAAGGATCTTCTCCAGGTGCTCGAAAAGGAGACTTCTGGCTGGTTTGAGGCCGCCCTCCGCGCAAAGGTGCTCGGCCCCGTCCTCTACGACTGCTGGCTCATCAAGCGTGCCTGCCAGGGTGCCGGCACGCACGAGGACCTGCTCAACGAAGTCATTCTTGGCAGGACCAACTCGGAGATGCACATCCTCAAACAGGCCTACCGCGCCACCTACGGCAAGGACCTCGAGCGCGTCGTCGAGGACGAGCTCTCGTTCAAGACAAAACGCATGTTCACCATGGCCATGCAGGGCGTCCGCCAGGAGGACAACGTCCCCATCAACCCGCAGGCCGTCGACGCAGATGCTGCCGCTCTCCACAACGCCGCAAAGGGCGCCGGCACCGACGAGATCGCCATCTGCGGCATCCTCATCCAGCGCAGCACCCCGCACCTCGCCGCCGTCGCACAGGCCTACCACCGCCTCTACCGCAAGCACCTCTCCAGCATGATCGACTCCGAGTTCTCCGGACACATGCGCGACGCACTCCGCTACATTGTCGACGGCGTCGAAAACGACGGCCAGGGAGTCACCCGCGATGCCCGTCTGCTCGAGGACAGCATGAAGGGCATGGGCACAAAGGACGAACGTCTCGTCTACCGCGTCGCACGCCTCCACTGGAACAAGCACCGCTTCGAGGGCCAGATCAAGCCCGCCTACGCCCAGCTCTTCCACAAAAAGGGCCTCAAGAACCGCGTAGAGGGCGAGACCAGCGGCGACTACAAGCGCATGCTCAGCGCCATGATCGGCTCGTGATTCGACCCTTTTCCACGACTTGCTTCGTATCGATTCCCCGCTTCCTGTCTGATACCCTGAAAGCAATGCAAACCAAATGCTGTACCTGTATCGCTCCATCGTCTGCTCTCTGTGGGTGTTTGTGTCATTCGCGTCGTCGTCGAGTGGGCATTTCCAGCCCGTCATTTCTGGCCTTTGTTTTTGATCCGCGATTTAATCTCAGCTTTTTTTTGTTTTTGTTTTTGTTTTTGTTTTTGGTTTTTTTTTTTTTTT